GGTCGAGGGTACAGCCCTCATATTGTGGATCCATGGTCTTCCGAACAGGGCGTTGTATCTCATATCGCCTTCGATCACGTGGAACTTTATTTCTTGGATGGTCCTGGCCACGTTAACTCGCGGGATTATTTCGCCCTTAGTCGTTTCACATGCCATATTGAATTTGTTTAGTACCAAAGTTGCGGGCACGACTTGGTCCTGTAGACCGAGTTGTTGTACGACCCTCGATCGAATGATGTTGGCCGAACTACCTGGATCAATTAACACATATTTAACTTGAGTTTTATTCATAAGTACAAATATAACCAATGCATCATTATGTGGATGCATGATTCCTTCCGCGTCTTCGTTATTGAAGGACAAGGTTCCTTCAGGGGAGTAATCCTGAGTCCGGGATCGCTTTTCTCTTACAATCGACATCTTAGTGCGTTTAAGCACCGACCTCTGGTGGGGATCGATCCCACCAATGATCATGTGGATGATGTGTTGTGGCTCTTCTTGTTCTTTTTGTCTACTGAAATTCCTATTTTTGAAATGGTTTTTGGCCCCGTCACTTAAAAAATTCTCGAAGGTGCCCTTTATTGAATAATCGGGTTACCTCCTCCCTCAGTTGCCTGCAATCTTCCGTTCTGTGGCCATGAGTGCCATGATATTCGCACATTTGATCGGGATTCCCTTGGGCAGGATCAGTCTGCAGAGGTCGAGGCCATTTAGTATCTTTGATGCTTCCGATAGCCGACAAGACTGCGGATGCATCGATGCTAAAGTTATACTCTGATAACTGTGGTGCTTCCTTAAGTCCGGTATGCCTGTCGAACCCATTCCTATTCATCAGCCCCCGAGACCCTTGGCCTCGATCATTTCTCCTTTCACCTTGTACGGGGGTTGCGTGAAGGTTCGCTACCCCTACGATCTCCGTTATACGGCCGATATCGATCCTTGTTTGACCTTGGTTCTCGGTCGATATCCCTTTTAATAACGGACCTAGACCCCAACTGATCATCTTCAACTCTGATCTTCGATTGACATCGATTGTGTACATCGGCCCAAGTAATAGCCGGGTACTCGATCAAATTCTGCTTCAACTGTCGTTAAGCCATCAAGCTCCACTCGTTCAGTACTTGAGTGAAAGCTTGTACAGCCCAATCGTTAGTGACCGATGGTAGATCCATTCGTTCCGTTTGAAAACGAGATACGAACTCTCTTAGCATCTCGTTATCCTTCTGTCTTACCTTGAAAAGGTTTGACTTCCTGGTCTCGACCTTTATGACTCTGGCGTGTGCTTTTATGAAAGAATCTGCAAGCATAGCAAAAGAATCGATAGAGTTAGACGGTAAATTATGATACCATATCATTGCTCCCTTTGACAAGGTTTCATCGAATTTTTTCAATAATATAGATTCGATCTCATCATCCTCTAGATCGTTCCCTTTAATGGCATATGTGTAAGAGGTGACATGTTTGTTGGGATCGGTTGTTCCATTATATTTAGGAATTTCGGGCATACGAAACTTCTTTGGGACTAGTTTAGGAGTCGCGCTGGGGGGAAAAGGCTTTTGTACAATTTTTTTGGAATCTAAGCCCTTCAATATCGGCGGTGCCCCTGGGATCTGATCAACCCTGGAGTTATACGTTTCCACTTTTTTTGTCGTTTGCTTCGATCTTCCTTTCTCCTGACTCTATTCGTTTCGTCAGTTCTTCGAACATCTTAACAATTTCGGGATTAGTCCCTGATTCTTGCTCATTTGACCTTACTATAGCTGGTCCCGTTTTGTGGGTGACTTCTTGGGGTGGACTGGGCTCGAGTCTAGTCGGTGTCTTGGTTTGGATCTGCAACTGGGCTACTGCTACTTGTTGAGCTTGCAACATCTCGAAAATCATACGCAAGTTGATTACGTTTTCCTCAGCGTTTTGGGTATTTCGAGCTGCAGACCGAGTTCCACCATGAATGCTATTTTCAGGGCCGGAACGTTGATTCATCTCGATGGCCGCATGTGAATTAACGTATATTGGCTCTCCGACCCGAGCTCCAACGGGATCGATGAGTGGCCTTTCACCCCCGGGGGTTAAGTTGTTGCTCTCATCTTGAAGGCCAGCTTCGTTGTCGATAGGTAGGGCCATTAATTGAGGATTCGTTGTTTTCAACGTGAAATCAAAGATACTTCCAAGAGCAAGTGTAAAATGATGTGTTTTGCAGAGATTCGTACCAAATAATCACTGTTATCGTTAGCCCCACGGTGGGCGCCAAACTGTTTACCCAAAAAACGGATAGATTTGAATTTATACGTAGTTCTAAGGATACGTGGTATAACTTGGCACAAATCGGAAAGTAAATAGAAATATATTGAGTATGGACAATATAAAGAATGAAATACAAACTAAACTGAGTGGAAAATATTTTATGAACAAGCAAGATGAATCAATATACTAAGCCCAAAAAGGGATAATCTCTATATGAATATCAGTATGTTTTTCTATGTGAATATCAATAATATGAGAGTGTATGAATGCCTTGATGTCGGATGCCCTTACAGAAATAATAGTCATCCCTCTTATAGTGGAGGAATCCTACTTTGGATATAATTAAAATTACATAGTGGAAAATCCATAATAGATTAGCTTTTCCCTAATTCCCGCCGAGATTCTCTCCCTCAGTGCGACCATAACGGCTCGTCTCTTAGCTCGATCTTGATCGGATTTGGTATTAGTCGATTTTCAGATTTAGAGATCGATATTAACTCGAGGCTTGATATCGACTCGGGCTCGATATTGGTCGGTCTCTGGCTCTTAGGCTCGATGACACCACCTCACATCATAGTTTGATTTGGACTCGAGCTCAGTAATGAGTTCGAGTTCGGCATTCGATCGGTCCCAAAAATTTGAGCTCGGTAACCTGATTTCGAATCACATCCCCATATTATGAAGATGACATTCGGTCCATTATATTCGAATCTAGACTAGTCATACGAAGGTCGAAACCGATTTTGACTATATACACCCAATTTATCAAATACAAGTATTCAAATAAAAAAATTACAAGTTCGTATATCGACTTAACACAAAGGATGCAAGTTTAAGTGGTCAGGAGCCATTCTCGGATATTGGAATTGAAACAGAACAAGTTGCCCATCCCTATCCTGTCCATACAAGAAATGGACAGGATAATGCAGTGTACCACCGTTACCTAACCTATGCTAACATCACTAGTGTCTGCCTTAACAGTTGTACCTTCCAACTTTTGGATGGTCTCTGCTCTCTTCTCTATGTCATCATCATCAGATCTTAACTGCTGCAACGTGTCATCTATAATGTATCCCCATGTCTTTTCCTGACGTGGCAGCTCCATTGGGATAATATGTCCTTTGACGTGTACGTCAACTTTCACTTGTCATAGCACATACTGTCACTATTTCATTTTACGTAAATGCATTTGACCGGACATAATTTTTAAAAATTAAATCAAAACCTGGATAGAGGGCAACACTTTTGTGATTACAAAATTACATCATTATAAAAAGCTTATAATTTAATTATAAAAAGGTTGTTTTTTCTTTAACAGATTAAGAAGGAAAAAGCATGAATATAATGAATCTAAGGGAGTAATTTTTCCTCATAAAAACAACGCCAAGCAGTACAAGTATGGGTTTGTAGTATTGCAAATAGTACCCTTTATTGCTTAGTTAGAACTTAGAAGAAAAAAAAAAGGAAAATTTGAAAAAGAACTACTTCGTAGCTGCAATGTAAATAAGGATGAAATGTAGTCTTGAAAATTTCATATTAATGTCATGCTTTTTTTTCTAAAGACACATAAATAGCTCAAGAACATTGGAAAGAAAAATCTGATCTGGAATACTTGGACATTCATTAAATCTACCTATAGGTTTACTCTCACGATAGGTTAATTTAACGAACGTCCAAGCACTTCAGATCAGATTTTTCTTTCCAATATTCTTGAGCTAATTTATGTGTCTTCAGAAAAAGAGAATAACATAACGATATAGTCAAATTTCTACGAATTCGAGAGCCTAATCAATATCAATTTTACGTATTGGAGAGCTTCATACTACGTAAGCGGCCAGAAGAACGTAATACCATTATACACCATCGAGTAAAATAAATCAACGACGAGAATGATGCTTTCGAATGGGCTCGTGGATGCACAATTTGCACATACATAAAAAGAAACTGGAATTTTCAGAAACCACTATTGTTTAATAGTTATTAATTTTTTATACCTATTATATACATAAGTACTTCCTATAACTACTATCAATAGTTACGGTAGTGCATTCGTTGTATTCGCGCTACTGTATTCATGACTATAGTAGCAAAAGTCGCCTAAAAACAAGGGGTTATAGTTGTACGCGACTGTATTCACATATATTCGCGCCATGTATTCATGAATACAACAACAGCAGTCACCTTAAAAATAGGTCTATCCAGCTGTCTAATAACGGAAATAGGATCAATTAGTATGATACATTCCTAATATAACTCAACAAAATCAATTCTAACACGCCTCATTATCAACTCAATTAATTAGAATGATTTTTCATACGTTAAACACAAACCTACTGCATGTATTCAGTTGTATATAATTGTTGTATTTAAGGTGTTTCAATATTTGTTTTTTACTGTTGCATTCATTAGATTCAATGTTTGTATTTACTGTATTCACTATTTTGTATTCAGTGTATTCAAATGTATTTGTATTAACATTATTTTAGTTATTCCTAATACATGTTATTACTGTTGTATTCAGTATATTTCATTGGTTGTATTCACTGTATTTCTATTTGTATTCAGTGTATTTTACTGTGTTTTAAAATTAAATGTATTCACTATTTATATTTTGTTCTATTTCAATGTTTGTATTCAGTGTATTTCAATGTTTATATCATGTATTCATCCATACTGTAGGTACAGTATGCATGAATACAGGTGTATTAAAAAATACAAACCTTTGAAATACATAAATACAGGCCAAAAGACAATGTATCTATACAAAAATATAATGTATTTGAGTGAATTTATATAGAATATAATGTATTTGTATCATTGTATGTGACTTAATAGCAAAAAAGAGAAGAAAGTTCGCCAGATATGGCATTTTTCGGCCAAGCAAAATACTGTATACATTGTATTAAAACTAAAAATGGAGACGAACAAAAACCCTCACCCACAAATCTTCTTCGGTGTAGAAAATATTGCAGTATCCGTCGTTCATGTTACAGCACCTGTACTCTACTCGGATTATTCCAACATCATTTTTGCTCCCGCGCAGTGGCCTTAGACTCAAAGCGACGAGCCTCTCCTTGCTATGGAGGAATCTGATTTTGAAGAAAAGGTCCGTCTTTCCCCTCTTTTCCCCTACAGTTTAGAAGTATTTTCAATTGAAATAACCCTAGAGGATTCGGCCAAAGAATTAACGATTAGAAGCAGGTTATTTTGCTCGAAGAAAGAGAAGAGAGAGAAAGAAGAAATTTTTTGTTGAGATTTTGAAAGAATCACGTGTTAATTGAAAGAGAGAAAAAACATAAATAGTGTATTTAACACCTCAATGGTAGTATATACCATAAATACCTACTTTGCTATAAAATATAAAAGGTAGCTATAGAAAATAATATTTTAAAATAGCTTTATTTTATAATAAATAGGGTATATACCTTTTGTAAAATTTCCAAAAAGAAACGAGACTAGATACATTGAAAGTCCAGAAGATGAATTTTTTAAGTGTAGCACCAGTAAGTAAAAATTCTGTCAGTATCAATCTCACAGTAACTTTCCATGTTTCACCTTTTATGTACACATTGCATCCACTTCCCCAGAGGACACTCTGATCCATTGGTGTTTGCCTCGACATATTGACAATTCTAATTGAAGCAAAGCAAGTCCAAAGAGTGGATTTTATTGAGAGTGCGAACAAAATGACGTATTGGAATTTGAGTTTTTTTTTGGGGGGGGCAGCTATGTTGAATCATTATCTGGCTCTTCTTCAGTATCACTCTGTGATTGAGGACCCCAAAATTTTGATTCGAGGATGCTTGAATCAGAAGAGGTGGGAACCATCGCATTATTGAAGTCCCGAAAACACAAGGCGCTATGGTCTTCATCATTACACGCTGTAACTATTCTACATCCATCTACAGCCATTGCAGAACACCCAAAGCCTGGAGGGGAATCACATCGAGGGCAGCTAATGAAAGAACATGTTCGTCCACCACTCCCCGTCTCCCAAACATGTACTTCGAAATCCTCCAGCCCACCACTAACAATTTTGTAGGGATCCATGTGCAAGAGATTTACATTGCCTTTATGTCCGTCTAACTCCGCTACTGCTTCTCCCTTCTGTATGTCACATCCTTTTCTGACATCCCAGAGCATTGCTCTGACAACCATATTTGCATTAGCTTTTATCAATTATCTTCCAATTAAAACAGCAGTATAACACAAACCTAAGAGATACAGCGCAATAACGAAAACGACAATACCGATGCCCATTGATGCATTATGAAGCAACAACTTATCAAAGTCAAACCTGTAAGTTGGAAGAATCCTACCAGTCATACCTTTGAGCTAACCCTGTACAGATCAATGATTTCTCTGGCAACATTTGAAATGAATGTAATTCTTTTTTATGGTTCACTTTAAAGACTTGACGCATTGTTCTTATATCAATTGCAACAACCGAGGAACCAGCCGCAACATAGATCAGTGATTCATGACACTTCATTGCCTTAGGTGCGCCAGGCACAGTGCTCTTTCCCACACAGCATGAAGAGCGAACAGCTGATGAAGTAGAAGTGTCCCAAACCATCACCTGCCATGAGCAACTAAAGTTAAGGTCGAAAGCAACTATTGATTCTACACCAAGAAGCACAGAAGTTCCAAAAGAAAGTAAACTAAAGAGCTAATTAGTGGTTCAAGGATGCAACTTGTATGCGGATAATCATTGCAAATCAATCAAAACTTTGACAAAACTATATTCGTAAGTTGCTGCACTGCTTGTATCAGCCGCTTAAGCCTTTTCATTCACGCCACTTAAGCCTATTTTCACTTAAATGCTACGATGTTAAAAACAATTATTACTGAGAGTCTGAAAGATGTTTGTTTAAAGGGAATTGAAGTTTTTCTCTTTGTTAAATGCGCCATGGGAAATATAAAATGATAAATTTATTCTTCTGCAAAACTACTTTGAAAAAAGGTAAAAAGGGAACAAGGCGATATAGAAAAATGATGTCTTGTCTCTCAAAGGACTTGTGCAAACTAGATTCTGCAAATGAGATCACAGAAATATTAATACTTTCTAGGAGGGCCTGGAGTTCACTGTACATATTCACTTCAAAGTATGCGGACTAAGGAGGAGAATTTGCAATGTCATGGTTGATTATCAAGAAGGGGAGCCTTGGCGTAACCGGTAAAGTTGTTCCCACGTGACCAGGAGGTCACGGGTTCGAGCCGTGGAAATAGTCTCTTGCACAAATGTAGGATAAGGCTGCGTACAATAGACCCTTGTGGTCCGGCCCTTCCCCGGACCCCGCGTATAGCAGGAGCTTAGGGCACCGGGCTGCCTTTTTTATGGTTGATTATCAAACTTCAAGAAAAGAAATGATGCATCATTATGGAAGCCAACTCACTTGGTTTTAGAAGGGAAATATTGCGGGGAACACATCAAGTATCGGAATTTCTTGCAAGGCTTTACAAGTCATGCACGTGGGGAAAGCTGAGTTCAAAGGCAACCTTAGATTAACAGGAGACTATGCAAAAGAACAGAATAAGATGATCCCCTGAAGAGACAGCAGCATCTTGGCACACGACTAAGCTCAACTGCCCCTCATGCTTCTACTCTTCTAGAGATAAAAATGGAAAGCATTAGAAGCTTGCAGAAATTTTCAGTTACTTGGAAGAATTTTTTTCTCACCCCTTTTCCTGAACAACACAGAGTAGATTTTAACTACAAATGCTAAAAAGAGGGGTAGTAAACAAGAGAAGGAACTTCCTCATGGAATTTTCTCTTTCAATATAAAGTATGAGTTCTAAGTTAAGAGCTAATTCTGCTAATAAACAAGGGCTGCCGGGTGCACAAGGCATCCCGCAGGGTCCGGGGAAGGGCCACACCTCAATGGGTGTGACGTAGGCAGCCTACCCTATTGCAAGCATTAGGGGTTACTTCCAAGACTTGAATCCGTGACCGGGGATAACTTTACCGTTGCTCCAAAGCTCCCCTTAAGAGCTAATTCTGCTAATACTCAATAAAAAGTTTTTCCTACTAAATAACAAGAAAATTAATGTAAACAAACAAAAACATAATAATAACTCAAAAAGAGAATGTGCAAAATCTAGTAGTCAACAGAATCAAATAAAATGTCATGGGAAATTTTAGAACCACATTCAAATTTGGCACTGTTAATGTAGCTTGCTCATAAATCAAACTAAAATGTCCCAACACAGATCACAATACCTTGGAGTTCCTTGATATGCTCACTAGAAGAGATGTCTTGTGCCTGAAACCAGAGAGATTCAGACAATAAGACAGTTGGGAAGAAGATAAAGCTCAAATTACAACCTCTTATAAGAAATTTAATGTTTCCATCAGAAAAACTAAGATTCACCAAGCTATAGGTTAGATTTCTCTCAATTCATATTCATAGCAAAGAATTTTGACTACCCCTGCACTGTGTGATCCAAATACTGAAGCAGCCAGCAGATCATCATAAAAAGAAAGAAGGAAACCAGAAGAAGGCAAGGTTTCTATCTACTTAATATGTTCAGTTACAAAGAATTGCTTTCTTGGGGTAAGTCTCTTGGTTATACAAGTTGCAAGAGAAATTGGTTTAATGTCCGTATGATTACAGATGAAAGAGAATCACAGGTATATCCTGGAAGTGCCAATGATACTGCAAGAGAAACAGTTCTAAATCATTCAGTTGGGTACTCACGTTTCTGGATTGCACGGTGCAAACGGTACTAACAGGAATGATAATAAACATTTCGAATAACTTACCAAAATATATTTGATGTATATAAATATCAGATCACGATAATTCAGCTTTGAAAATCACAGCAAGTATAGGTGTATTTTGGCTTTTGGGTGGAGTTGTCCAGGACTACTTCACTAAATCTTTTTGGGCTTTCAACAACTACTGGATCCCAGTTTATAAAAAATTAACATTAGATTTTAGCAAATCTCAACTAATACTGTACCTCCTCAGTATTCTATATTTTTCTCCTTTTTTTTTTTTTTCGGAATAATGGTATCAATAAATATTCTCTTTTTGGAATATGTTTTCCCACTTTAAGAAATTTTAGAAAAAAGAATGTTCAAAATGCTTACACCTTATGATTGACCTTCACTGTTTGCCTGTAAGAACATCGTGGAGTAACTCAATATAGCATTTTAACTCAAATTAATAACAGATAGACGTGAAGCTAATGCAAGCTCCTGCTAGATTGCAATATCGTTTTGGAGATGCTCGTTTCTTGAAATCCATACACTAGAGATTCGGTTGCAACGATGCAGAGAGAGAAGAAACAATCCAGATTGTTAACCAAAAACTGGCATGTAGAGAACCAAATCTAGATGCCAATTTCCCAAGCAAGAAGTTTTGGCAGCACAACAGGATAATAATAAAGATAATTTGCAACAAATATCAGAGCAATTACATCATACCCAGCAACTGACATCAGCACTACAGGTTTCTCATGCCCGTAAAGTGTCGCCTTTAAAGCTTGTTGGCCGCGCTTACCACTAGAATCAAGGGACCATAATCGAACAGTTCCATCCAAACCACCGCTTGCAAGTATATTACTAGGACAATCACCCAACAATTTGTCTGAAAGTGTGGAAACTGAACCATTATGGCCTCTGAGACATCGTTGACAACGCCCCTAAAAATGAATCCCACAGGCAAAACTGAGAAAATGACAGGCAACATAGTTGTTTAAGAGATCGGATACCCATATACAGAATCTAAAACGAACATAACCAGAAACTGATGCATGCTCATATGCATAGAACATGACATTCACCTAATTGGCATATTCTTTAGGTACCAACCATCATGAGAATTTAGGCTGTCCTAGCAATCAAAATAATGTGCAGAACTCAACAGTTTCACTAATGGGAATCGGTATCATAAAGTAAACATACTTTTCGCAAAAAGAATGTGCAAAACATCAATAGTTCAACTGATGGGAATCTGGATCAGTTGAACCCTGTCGCGACACTACCTTAGAAAGAATCGCCGGAATCCGACACCCCACGCGCGGCAGAGCTCCGACCACCTCTAACCCACGCGCCGGCGCATGACGCCTCTCCAGGCCAGATCTCAACTTTTTTTCTTCAGACAGCCTCTTCGCGAGGCTGTTCCGACCCCACCCATCCACCAACCTCCAACTTCCGACCACTTTTGCTATTTTCCGGCGACGGAGGTGGCTTTTTCCGGCCAGATTTCACTCCCTCTCACTTTCTCTTCTTCAGTCAGTCTCCTAGCGAGGCTTTTGGTTTAGCTATGATGGACTCTACAGAGAGAAGCTCCTACTTCTCCCTAGAATCTAAAAAATTGAAAAACATGTCTTTCATCAAAGCTGCATCTTGGCCAGCCCTAGAACTTGGGGGAAGATGACAGCGAAAGCTTGACGTAGGGGAGGAGCCGCGCTTCTCGCTGTCCGAGGAGCACACTCTCAGGCGTAAAGGTTTCTTGGATTCTTGTTTGATTGGGTCTTTCTCCAAATGGGTTGATTCTCCAGAGGCTATTAGGAACTGGGCAGCAGAGGCATGGAACGTCAAGGACGGGCTGAAAATATCGCAACTGGGGAACACGCAATCTCTTTTGATTTGTCGACGAGTCTCAAACTTTAGAAATTCTTGTCAGAGGAAACAGGTGGTTCGATGGGAATTTCTTAAAGATAAACATATGGGTGGAGCACGATGGGTGTCTCGACCCTCGTTTCACTGGAGAAACATTGGTGATAAACATGGTGGGTCTCCCGGTGCATCTCTGGTGTCTTGACCTATTCAAGAAGGTTGGGGAAATCTGTGGGGGTTTTATTGATGTCACTTGCAGCTTACACGATCTCTCGCGAGTAAAGATTGTGGTGAGGAAAAGGGGCAGAATCCATGTCTCCACTGTGGTGGAAGATGGCTATTTGAGTTACAGGGTTTGGTTGAGCCCTGAATTTCGCCCTATATTTATGCATGTGATATTGGCGGAAGAAAAGGAAAGGTCAAATAGAAGGGAGGGAAGGGGAAATCAGTCTCTGAGGGGAGGGGAGGGCTCACCGGATCAGTGGACTAAGATGGAATCAGACGTTAGATCGAGAAGTGACGGGAGGTTTGAATTTGGGAGAAGAAGACAAAATTTTAACAGGAGGAAAAGACGTGAATGGGTTAGTGATGCGGGCTGGAAAGGCAGAATGGATTGGTCCTCTTTTAACTATCATAGGGTCGGGCAAGATTTCAGCAAGTATAGGCCCNCATGGAATGTCAGGGGGATGAATGACCCGAACAAAAGGGCCATCATCAAAGTGGGAGTTAGGGAGTGGGGTGCCAACCTAGTTTGTTTTCAGGAGACCAAAATGGAAGTTTTGTCGGATGCGATCGTGAGAAGTCTCTGGGGAGGTAGTTGGGTGAAATATGACTGGGTCCCTGCAGCGGGAAGTGCCGGGGGTATTCTACTTATGTGGGATGATAGAATTTTGGAGGTAAAGGAGATTAGGAAGGGAGCTTTCTCTTTGGCAGCTCTCGTCAAAGATAGAGTGAGTGGAATGGAGTGGGGATTTGGGGGAGTGTATGAGCCGGTAGGGGAAGGGTCCAAAGTGTCTTTCTGGGAGGAACTTGCTAATATTATGGGGGAATGGGACATTCCATGGGTTATAGGTGGAGACTTTAACACAATTAGATTCCCGGAGGAGAGATTAGGGTGCAATGTGATTTCGAGGGCCATGGAGGAGTTTTCTGACTTCATCAATGATCACTTTCTCATTGATCTTCCTCTGTCAGGGGAAAGGTTTACTTGGGCCAGGGCGGAGGATTCAAACTCAAGGTCCAGACTCGATAGATTTCTGATATCGTCCTCTTGGGATGAGCTGGTGCCGAATGTGTTGCAGATCCCTTTACCTAGGCTGACTTCGGATCACTTGCCTATCTTGCTAGATGGATGCAGAGGGAGGGGGGTCCGTGCTCCCTTCCGGTTCGAGAACATGTGGTTGAAAGTGCCAGGATTTTGTGACAAAGTGAAAGAATGGTGGACCAGCTACGGGGTATCAGGGTCACCCTCATTCCGTCTGTCGAAGAAACTCAAATTGCTCAAGGGAGATATTGTTAGGTGGAATAAGGAGGTCTTCGGGAGGGTGGAGGTCAAAATGAGGGAGCTTATGCATGAATTGGGGGAATTAGAGAGAGGGGAAGGGGCGAGGGAGCTAGATGAATCTGAGAAAGTGAGATTGGGGAGGTTAAGAGTGAAATAGTCGAGTTAGCAATAGCTCAGGAGACTAGTTGGCGACAAAAATCAAGGGCGCTCTGGTTAAAGGAGGGGGATTCGAATACCAAGTTTTTCCACAGGGTTGCGGTTGCAAATCGAAGGAGAAACTTCATAGAGTCCTTAGTTGTAGATGGGGTGAGGATTGAGGGAGAAGAGGAGGTAAAAGGGGCGATAGTGGGGTTTTATGAGAACTTATATAAAGAGAAAGTTAGCTGGAGGCCTACTTTGGGGGAATAGAGTTCAACCACATAGGGGAGGGAGACAGTGAGCGGCTAGAAAGAGCTTTCGAGGAGGAGGAGGAGCACGATGTTGTGTCGAGTTGTGCTGGTGATAAGGCCCTCGGGCCTGATGGTTTCTCCCTGGCCTTCTTCCAGCTCTGTTGAGACACCATTAAGGGGGAGTTGATGGAAACCATCGAATACTTCCGCGTGAATGGTGCTTTCGAGAGAAGCATCAATGCTTCTTTTATTACCATTGTGCCTAAGAAAGAAGGCGCATCTTGTATCAGAAACTACAGGCCTATCAGTCTAGTGGGGAGCATTTACAAGATTATTTCTAAAGTGCTCTCCAACAGACTCAAAAAAGTTCTTGACGTGTCTGTTTCGTCCCCCCAAAATGCGTTTGTGGAAGGTAGGCAGATCCTGGATGCTGCTCTGGTGGCAAATGAACTTGTAGACTCCAGAAGGAAAAATAGAGAACCCGGCTTACTGTGCAAGTTGGACCTTGAGAAGACTTTCGACCATGTCAATTGGGAGTTCCTGGACTTCATTATGAAGCGGATGGGGTTTGGGGAAAGATGGAGGGGATGGATCAAATTATGCATTTCCTCAGTCAGATTCTCTGTCCTGGTTAATGGTAGCCCGTGTGGTTTCTTTGTCAGCTCCAGGGGGCTCAGGCAAGGTGACCCCCTATCCCCATACTATTCATTTTAGTGATGGATGCTCTGAGTAAAATGATGGATCGTGCGGCGAGTAGAGGCTTCTTGAGAGGATTCTCAGCTCCAATCGGGGTGCTCAGTGCCCGAAGGGTCTCTCATTTGTTTTTTGCGGATGACACCCTGGTTTACTGTGATGCCGATATGGATCAGTTGACCTGCCTGAAGCAGGTACTACAGTGGTTTCAGATAGTATCAGGACTCAAAATCAACCTCGGTAAGTGAGATTTTCCCGGTGGGTGAGGTTGCCAACATTGATGCTTTGTCTCATGTTCTCGGATGCAAGTTGGGCTCTCTTCCCACTACTTACCTGGGTCTACCATTGGGCACTTTGCAAAAGGATACTACGGTTTGGAATCCAGTTATTGAAAGGGTTGAAAAACGATTAGCAGGCTGGCAAAAACGGTACTTGTCAAAAGGCGGTAAGGAAGTGCTTATCAAAAGCACTTTGTCGAGTATCCCTACCTATTACTTATCCCTGTTGCAAGCACCTGTGAGCATCACAGAAAAACTAGAGCGGCTTCAAAGGAATTTTCTTTGGGATGCGGCAGATGGTACTAGAAAGTTTCATCTAGTGAATTGGCAGACAGTCACTTCCCCAAGGAAGTGGGGTGGACTTGGAGTAAAAGATCTCAGGGTATTCAACAGAGCTTTGATAGGGAAGTGGTTGTGGAGATTCGGGGTAGAAGAGCATGCTCTATGGAGTGAGGTCATAGCAGAAAAGTACGATTCCACGGGAGGGGGTTGGAGGACCAAGGCAATCACAGCACCGTTCGGGTGTGGCATGTGGAGGAACATCATGAAGAACTGGGAAGCTTTCTATGGCAACATCACTTACATGGTGGGAGATGGAAGGAGAATCAGCTTTTGGAATCACAGGTGGTATGGAGAGGCTACTTTGAGGGTCTCTTTCCCCCAATTGATGGTCCAACAAATTCGCTAGGAGCATGAAGATGGGACCTCTCTTTTAGAAGGAACATGCAAGATTGGGAGATTGCGGAGCTCCAAAATTTGTTTGCACTGCTATACGGGAAAGACATACCCCATCCATCTTACGATTCTTGGAGATGGGGGTTGTGTGGCGATGGCTTGTTCACCGTAAAGTCCTTTTACCAGAGTATGTTGGTGAGAGAGGAAGCTACTTTTCCATACTCATCGATCTGGATTCCTAAGGCGCCCACGAAGGTGTGCTTCTTTGCATGGCTAGCAGCGAGGGGAGTGATCTTGACATCTGAAAATCTGCGAAAGAGAGGAATTACACATGTTAGTTGGTGCTACATGTATAAAAGCTCAGGGAAGAAGTTGATCATCTTATGTTGCATTGCCCTGTGTCCTGGGGTTTGTGGGGGGCAATCCTAAATCTTTTTGGTGTTCAATGGGTGATGCCAAACACTGTAAAGGAAATGCTATATAGCTGGGCCGGTTTCCGTAGAAGAAGCAAGCAAAAGGCGTGGAGGTTCGTCTCGTTAGCTCTCATGTGGTTAGTCTGGGGAGAGAGAAATAGGAGAGTTTTTTAGGGGATTGAGTCTTCGTTTTCACATCTTAAGAATAGTCTTTTATCTTTGATCGCTTTTTGGTGCACACATATAGCCCCTACTTATGTAGAAGATTGGGCGTCATTTGTAAAGAATCATGTTCTGATGTAAATTCTCTACTTTTTTGTATACTTCTTGTATGCGGGAGTTTTCTCTCCCTTTTGATTAATACAATTTACCTTATCAAAAAAAAAATGCATCAGATGAATAATCTATTTCTTTCTTTTGCAATAGGGAAAAGATATTCAGCAAAGAATATTGAATAAAACAGTAAGTACGACAACTCCATGATATAGTGAGAACAAAACTTAAAATTAATAATAATAAGTTTCAAGAGATTTAACTAAAAGAATTTGCAGATTAGAACGTCACAGACAGGAAAATATTTGATTACGAGTTTCATAAGCTCATTAGGTTCAATAACTCACGAGACACAGGAGACAGGACAAACACAAGTATTCACGCAAACATCAAAGGAACTAAAAGTCATCTTGAGTTATTTAGACTACCTTCCACCATAGCCGAATTGAATGGTCAAAGCTTGAGGTTACCAAAAGATTGTCATTTTTCTGTGTCTTGATACCATACAGGCATGTCTCTTCAAATGGAATTAATCTGCAGTTAGTAGGATTATGGCTACTGCTACACATATTAAAAAGAAATGTCAAACTAAGACATAACATATTTGTAAGGGAAGTAAACAAGTACTGAATCAGCTAATCCAGAACTGTTCATTTACATCCTTCAAGTCTATCTTGGATGAAGTATGAAGTCCATAACATTCTCCAAAGATGTTCACTCTATAGCTTCCCAAGAATATTTCCTATCTTGAAGCAGAGATGAGTTCAACAATCCATCTACTTTGCTTCTTAATTTCACAGTGCTAACTCTCAAATCTCACTTGGACAGCAGAAAAAGAAAATATAAAGCAACTCTAACCTCATAGAAGTAATTCTGGCGGTGTGATCACTGAGTGTGACATATGGATCATTTCCATCCAAAAAATTGTCAATGTTCACTATATGGACTGAAGAGCCCTGCATACAAGTTATTAACAAAAATCATGTCATAAAATAGTAATAAATATGATTGAATATTCTATCAACTCGATTCCAGAAAATAAGGATTACAACCACCGGTCTAAGGTCCACATTGCAATTGATGGCAAATTTCTAAGATAATGTATTCAAGCAATAGCTAATTGTAATCCTCTACGTGCACACACAACCACCAAGATGCACCAGTGTTATCAAAGGTGAAAAACGCAAAAAAACTCTAAGATCTATTAGTGCTTTAAGCGCAAAGCGCAAATAAAGCGTGGGCATTAATGAAGAAAGGCGCAAATAGAGAAAAACTACAAATATGTATCTGTCGTCCAAGACTAATATCAATAAGTATGAGTACCAAATATAAGGACAAAGAAATTGAAGAAAATTTACGATATAGTAAAATATCAATTGCTTAGTGTCGTCTCTTCAGAATTACGCTCATTAGCAAGGAAAAGTATGTCTTAGAGCCTTGATGAAAACACTGAAGCGCCCGCTAAGCGAGGCGAAGCGCTCAACATGTTTTAAGCCTGGCTTTAGGGCTTAAGCGCGCCTTTGATAACACTGAGATGCACTTTGTAAGAGCTTTTGAGTTCTATGACAGGAATAGCTAATTGTATTGTGACAGGAATTTGAACAAATGGTAGACATACTACCTGAGAAAATATGATATTGTCTTTGTCAAGATGCAGATTTTCATGAGGTTTTGCCTCGGTAGCAAACTCTACAACAATAGGGTCAATGAACTTGAATTGCAGCACATCACTACGCCTGGCAAGGTATGCTTCCCTGGCAGTTGATGTATGAGGAAAGCTAGAAGGTACTATTGGAGACCACTGCTGTCTGAAGAACATGAGCTTAGTACTAATCTCTAAGAAACTGGCAAGCAATGAAATACTAGAAGCAGAGAAGATAATCTGTTGATAACAGACCAAACAGTCACAATTTCCAGTCATAGCTACTTTTAAAATATTTTCGAGAGTCCTTTTCAAAATTAGCTTCCTTAAAAGAAAAAGGTCTATTTCTAGATATTCTTTAGCTTCCAATGCAAACTACTTTAGTGTTAATTATTCAGAAACCACAACTCCCAATATCTAAGAAGATCTCTCTTTTTTATCAGTACTCAGAAAATAAATTTGGCAAATATGTAAGAAGATATATGATTTAGAGATACCCCACGTAGTTAAAAGTTGCTCTACATCACCAAAGTTTAGCAGTAGCTTTAATTTTCAATTCAGTTTTTGAGTTAAACATTAATAACTACCCTCCTCGAAAGAGTTAAATAGTGCTGATTTCTCTTCAATTAGATGGACAATAGTGCTGCTAGGCTCATTTACATTTACACCGCAGATTCTCAAATAGGGATGCATAATTGCTACCAATATTATAAAGATTGTATCTTTATCCAGCCGCTATCAAATAATAAACAAGGGTTTAATTAGAAGAAAGTATAACCTGAAAAGGGATTGCCAAATAGAGTCAGAATAGGCAGCTCTTTGAAGGTATTTACAAGATATAGCTATGTTTGACAGGTCTTGAATATTCAAGTAAGTTGCACAGTGAACCAATGCGTCCATGTCAAGGTCAGTTATGCTTGTCGAGCTATTTTGAGTCGCCGGTGAAGTGTCCCCCATTTTTGGAGTCTCTCTGTTCAAACCCTAAAATCACAAATGAATGACGAACTGTGTGAGAAAGTTCTAGAATTGTAAAATGGAAGAGGAGCTATTTTGAAGAGGAAGCCGATATGTGACGGAAATGTAATTCAATCCCGTAAAACGTCGAATTTCTTTTTGTATTATCTTATTTTGAATTTTTGATTCACTTCTAAAATAAAGGAAAATTAAAACTTAACAAACTAACAAGTTGGAGTTTATATTACTACAAAGTATTAGGACAGGAAAATCACATACCGAATTATATTTACATCTATGTACACTAAAATCAAATTCCAAAAATTAGATAACTGAAATATAAACATTTGTTTTCTTTCAAAACAATGTAATGTATTTATATTAAAACTTGACCTATCAAATTTTTGAAAAGTAAAGCAATCTCAACCAAAAGAATATTTGAGAAATAACGAAGGTTAAAAATTAGATGTATACAATATGTATTAATTTCCAAAATTTTCAGAATTTACAAAATCAATTTCATAAAATTGTTATATATAATATTTTTTTATTATTATCACAAAGATGATATCTTTAACTTTTGTTTCCAGCCAAATAATACAAAATGGAACGGCGTGCAAGACTGCAAGTAGTAATTAATTTTTGTTATGAAAATAATTATATTATGGATGTCCATTTATTACTTTGCTATAGATAATTTTCCTAAAGAAGATTATCCGTTTGGTACTCTATTGAAGTTTATCTAGAAGCAGTTGATGCAAGCAAGTTGCAAGCAACTCAATGAAATGATTTGCGGCAACTTCTTAATTAAACAAGCAGGTTGCAAGCAACTCATGCAGACAACTTACAAGCAACTCAAGAAAAATCTCGCAGCTGCTTCCTAAAAAGCCTCGTGACTGCTTCCTTTCTTCTATAAATAGAGAATTTTTTAGTTCATTATGTACAACAATTTGAAGTTGAATAATATATCAATCTCTCTTTGTACTTGTCTTCGATTTCATTACTTTACAGTCTTTATTTTATAACACGTTATCAGCACGAGACTCTATCATTTTGAGCACTTACTTTGAATTTAATTTCTATTTCAATGTTCATCTCCGATGTAAGGCGACACTCTTATGTCTGTGGTTAGATCTTGTTCATTCTGAGCATCATAAGGCAGATTATATTTCTTGAGGTGGTGAGTTTTTCTTCTTAACAGTAGTAATGTAGATATCACTTACGTCTGGAGAAGTCAAATTTGTGTAAAGTAATTTGAGCCTTTTGCTTATATTTGGTTTAATATCTTTATCATCAATTGCTTGGTTATGTGCTACGTATACGGTACCTATTTTGGTTTTTGTTTTCATCATAATTACTATCTTAATAAATGATTACAAAGTGGATAACATTATTAGATTCACTTAAACTCCAGCAGAGTTTGCAAGAAATATACAACCATCAGAAGTGGTTATGTTTCGTATATCTCATTGTAACTAAATTTTGTTAACCACCGGAAGTGGTATATACCTATGACCGCCAGAATTGATTATTTAGGCTTTCGATTGTTACAATTAAAGATAAGTTAGAGAAATATTTTCTATATTACATGTACGCCTCGATTTGCCCCTGACATAGTAAATATTTTAAAAGAGGTTGAAGCATCACAATTTGATGTGATTAATGCGCGTTCAGATAATTATGTTTGATTTCCTGAAGAATGAGAATTTTTGATAAATATAATCCACTCCCTAAAGTAAATGTGATAATATTAATAAAGCTTGTAAATCTGAACGCTCTTTTAATGTAAATATATTACAATTCACCTCCATAAGAGGTAATATGATTGAGAGAATATATATTCAATATTTTGTATTTTAAATTTGCTCCTGAAATAGTAAAATAATTGAATTTTTCTCCCGAAGTAGAAAAATATTATGAAACTGTGTTTTTCTGTGCTTAAACAAAAGAATGAGCTATTCAAAGTTATTTTTGAAGTACATTTTTATTCCCCTGAGAGAATAAAGAAATACCACAACTCACCCCCTGAAGAGGTAGAGTAATAGAGGATATAAACATTATTTTTGTGGCATAAAGATCATTGTCACACGTACCTATTGTACATAAAACATCTTGAATAATTTTATTAAGTATCATTCTAAGGCAAAAGTATCCTTGTAGAATGCTTTCTACTACAACCATATTAATATATTATGGTTAGTTATTCAGTTCCCCGAAGGAAATAACAACTCATGTATATTTCCCTGAAAGATGTAATGACTATGTGGTTGCCGATTTGATATATAATATTCAGATGTTAATGGCGTTTCTCCCCGAATGAAATATTTTTCACAAAGTTGATAATAAAAATATTGAAATTCTTGATTTATGACATTTATAAAATTAGAATTGTCTTTATATTTTTTATTTGGTTATGATTTTCCCTCGTGATACCATAAGTGTATGAGCAATATTTGATAGTACAAAATGTATCAAAAACTCATGGAGAATTAACTGTTTGTCTAGAAGACACGTGACACCAGTAGTGTCCGAATAATATTAGATTGTGGATAATAAATGAAGGCTCTCGAAGAGCTTATATACAAATATGTCATTCATATTATATGATTATGGTCAAAACATATGTTGTAGTAAACCCGAAGTTTACTGATACAGATGGCTATCATATTGATACTACAAATGATTGGAATATTGAAAATCTTCATGTTTTCATAATCATAGGGGGTAAAATAATATATATGTGAGAAGTTACCCGTCTTATTCTTCAATTTGTACTACATCATGTATTACAGTAAACCAGAAGTTTACTAATGCAAAAGCAGTCACAATAAACCAGAAGTTTTACTGAGGCAAAAGTAGCTACTGTAAACCAGAAATATATTGATACAAAAGTAGCTACAGTAAATTTGAAGTTTACTAATGCAAAAGTTTATGTCATAGTAAACCAGAAGTTTACTTAGAGATAGCATATTTCATGATAAACTTGAAGTTTTCATTTACCATTTTTAAATGAGCTAGTTGAGAATTTAGATAATCAAATAATGATGAACTAGAAGATTCTTCAAGAATTCTCTTGTGTTGCTTGTTCTCATAATAAATTGATTATACCAGCTAAAGTTGGGACTAAAACCCACGAATTATGAAATATATAAAAGGTGAATATGAGCCCATTTACCTATCATGTAAACCACTTATACATGCATATATGAGATGGTTACATGTGTGTTTATTGTCAACCTGCAGTTTGGCATTTGAAATTGCTTTTCTCAATTAAGAGCATAATTTTCAGATTATGAAATCAAGATAGTTCATCTTGATGATGTTGGTTTATATCCAAGCTAGTTTAGTATTGAATACCTTCTATTAATGGCTAAACTGTTGCTTATGAGAACAAAGCCTCATGTGTTTGTCTAAGATTTTCTAAATTGCATACATCAACACTTGTATGCATCAGACTAACAAAGTATGATAAATCCTCTCCTCACAATTGGTTTAGGATCAGAAACCAAATATTTTTACTATCTAATAACCTTTGATGTATGGTATATGATTAATTTCTCTACCACAATGCACAAAGATATGTTTCCCAAAGAAGATTGGAGATATGTGTTAGTTTTTCTAACATTTGGGGGATGGAATAAACAGCTGAAAGATATGCTATATGAATTGAATTATCATTAATATGATCCTCGCTTAGAAGATAATTAAAGTCAAATGCCAGAAGCATTTGTTGATCTAAAATTAAATATCATATTTCAGTTGCTAATGCTCCTATTAAAATTAAAGTCCCTGAAGGATAAAGTTTATTGCACGCATGAAGCGTAGTAAACATATCGGTTCCAAAGGTAACAATCCTTGAAAAGGATAGGAGCAAATGATCAAAATGATCATAATGAGGAGGAAATGAGCCATAGAAAAGCCTACGACATAACATTTCATGAAACTCCAGAAGAAGTTCATGTACCTGAAAATAAAGAAAGTGATAAGATCTCAACAAGTTATGTCACTTGCGAACCGATACAAAATGATCGATGATGATATATTTGATATAATATAGTTCATAATATTGCAAAAGATTGTGAGGATCAGACATGTAGTCCAGATACCTGAAGATGTCATGTCATCTAAATGCAAGTCATAACCTATATGACTCATTTGATCAAATTTATATAAAGATCCATGAAGCATTTAAAAAGCTCGACGCATATAGTTCAAAGTATCGTGAAATGTACTCAATTAGATTACAAAGATCTTTGTATGGTTTAAATCAATTTGGGTGCATGTGATATAATCGCCTCAGTGCATATTTGCTGAATTAAGGTTATGTAAATGATGGCATTTGTCCATGCATTTTTACAAAGAAAACAACAGCATAGTTTGTTATATTTATTGTTTATGTTAATGGCATAAATCTCATAGGAACTCTAGAAGAGCTCCAAAGGGAAAAACTTTTTCTTAGTCTGTAAATTGAATATTTAGCAAACGGGATCTTTATCCATCAATCTATCTATACATAAAATGTCTTAAAACGCTTTTACATGGACAAAGCGCAGCTATTTAAGTACACCAAATGGGTGTTCGATCACTTGAAGTGAATAAGGATCAGTTCTGACCCCTAGAAGGGGATGAGGAACTCCTTGGTCCTGAAATAATATGTCTCAGTACAATTGGTGTACTTATGTATCTTGCTAATGCTAACAAAGGCGGTACATATCATATTGGTTATGCAGATGCAGGTTATTTATCCGATCCCCATAAAGTTCGATCTCAAATCGGGTACGTGTTTACACGTGGAGGTACTGTCATATCATGGTGCTTCACAAAGCAATTTATTGCTGCTACTTCTTCAAATCACGCTGAGATAATAGTTATTAATGAATCAAGTAGGGAATGCGTATGGTTGAGATATGTGATTCATTTTATTTGAGAAAAATGTGGGTTGGAATGTGATAAAGAACCCACAATATTATACTAAGACAATACTACATGCATATCCCAATTAAAGGGATGATTTATAAAAGGAGATAGAACGAAGCACTACACACCTGATCTTCAGAAAATAGTGACTTCGATGTGCAATAAAAATCGTTCAAGTGCAATCCAGCAGATTTGTTCACTTTGCCAACTTCAACTTTTGAGAAGATGGTATACAAAATTGGAATACAGAGACTCAAGTATTTGTAACAAGGTTTTCATCATGGGAGTGAAATACGCATTGTACTCTTTTTCCTTACTAAGGGTTTTCCCATGGGGTTTTCCTTGTAAGGTTTTTAATGAGGCAAATAGAAATGCGTATTACTAAATATGTGTACTCTTTTTCCTTCACTAGGATTTTTTCCACTGAGTTTTTCCTAGTAAGGTTTTAACGAGGCACGATATCTTTTAATGAAAATCCAAGGGGGAGTGTTATGAAAATAATTATATTATGGATATTCATTTATTACTCCGCTATAGATAATCTTCTTGAAGAAGATTATCCGTTTGGTACTCTATTGAAGTTTATCTAGAAGCAGCTGATGCAAGCAGGTTGCAAGCAACTCAATGAAATGATTTGCAGCAACTTCTTAATTAAACAGGCAGGTTGCAAGCAACTCATGCAGACAGCTTACAAGCAACTCAAGAAAAGTCTCGTAGCTGCTTCCTAAAAAGCCTCGCACCTGCTTCCTTTTTTCTATAAATAGAGAATTTTTCAGTTCATTATGTACAACAATTTGAAGTTGAATAATATATCAATCTCTCGTTGTACTTGTTTTCGATTTCTTTACTCTACAGTCTTTATTTTATACTACCTTCGTTTCAGTTTATGTGAACTTATTTCCTTTTTGGTTCGTTTCAAAAAGAATGACCCATTTCTAAATTTAGAAACAATTTTGCTTAAACTTACAATTCTACCCTTAATAAGAAGCTTTTATAACCATACAAATACTCTGCGCCCCTTTTTGAATTTTTTAGAACCACAAATTCCAAAAATATTTATTTTTTCTTAAACTTCATGCCCATTTTTTCTTTAAACTCCGTATTTAGTCAAACATCTTCAATTAAATTGTAACGGAGGGAGTAACAATTTTGACTTCCAGCACGGGATTATGTTTTTTCCGTCCCCAAAAAAACAAAGGAAAAAGAATTGAGTTATTGACCAGCTTCGCAGTTGCACTCAGTCCTTCACTCCCAATTCCGTTAGTCAACTCACATCGCATTTTGCTCAAACCTCAAACCCTATCCCCACCGGGATCCTACAACTCCGATAACATGCCTCCGACCACTGCCATCGCCGCCGTCCTTCTCCTCCTTCAACTCTTCTTCATCACAACCACCATCTCCGCCCCAATCGTGGGACTAGACTCCTTCCTCGCTCAACAATCCCGGGTTGACCCGACTGCCACAAACGATTCATTCCTCTCCCTTCCTTCTTCCATCAAAAAACACCTCTCCCACCCCTCCTTAAACAACCCAACCACCCCTTCTTCCCTCCTCTCGTTCCAACTCTCCGTCCCCATCACCGTCAAGCTCGTCGGCTCCAACTTCTCGTCCTCTTCCAAATCTCAGCTCTCTTCATTTCTCAGCTCAGCAATTTCTTCCGATCAGTTCCACGTCATCACCCCTTTCTCTTATCAACCATCTCATCATCTCTCTATTTCCCATTCCCTTCACCTTGACGTGTCACATTCTTCTAATTCCCTTTCTTCACGTTTATCTGAAACCCTCAAAACTCACCTCTCTACCGTCCCTTCATCTTTCAGATCCGTGCTCGCCGCCGTCCCGCACGAGATCATCGATGAAATAATTAAACAGGACTATGAAAAAGAGAAACCAATTAATGGGATTTACATTTATATTCTCAATTTGGGCTCCCAGTCAAAACCCTATGCTTACAGCTACACTCCTGGAGATCCGTCCCCGGCTTTCACTAAGTGTTTGGGCACTGTATGGACCGGAAAAGATCGGTATTTGTGGATTGATTTGGGGGCTGGCCCGGTTGATTATGGGCCTGCGTTGTCCGGCGATGGCGTGCTGCCACGTGGCGAGTTTCATCCGTTTGCTTCGTTGCACGGCCGCCCCAAGTCCCAAAAGGCACTGCTTTCGGATTTGGCGTCTTTGGTTTGGAGTGCTTATCAGGTTCTTCTTGTGCCCTCTTTGCGAATTCCTGTCCCGTTTGAGAATTCGTTAATTGTTGAGTTTATACATATACATAGTAATTCGGATAATAAGGATAGTTTTGGGTTAGATTGGAAGTTGATAGAGAGGAATTTCATGGATGAAGTAAATGAAAATGGGTTGTTGTTTGGTGATCAATCTTTGAGATTTAAGAAGTATGAGGTGAATTTAGCAGAGTGTCCTATTTGTTCTTTTGCCATTTTGAGGGCTGCTACTTCGTATACTTCTAGGTACTTGTTTGATAATTATACTCTGATTGTCAGTGAGTACCTGGACTCGAAGCGTTTACACCAGACATTGTCTGAATCGGCTGAGGAGTTTAGGAAGGTTGCTAAGCTTCCTGAGGAGGACTTTGCTGGAAGGATTCTTCCGGTTTATGTTTTTGATTTGGACGTTAATACGATTCTGTTGCTTGATCGTTATCATCAGTCCGTGGCCTTTAAGGATATGGTTATTGCAGTCAGGACGAAGAGTACGCAGACTGTGAGTGATTATAGTTGTAACGGGCGTCATGTGTTTACACAGTCTCGCGAGTTGGAGAGACCCCTTGTAGGTTCCATCTTACAGAGCATGTGGGGTGTTTCCCCGACACATATGGTATGGAGCCCGAGACATAACAGTACTCTAGTTGACTATACGTGGAGTGTTGGGCAGACACCATTTGGCCCATTTTCGGAGGTTTCTTCCTTGTCGTTTGTCCAGAAGGATG